TCGGCAGTACGTTTTTTTTTTCTATAGATTTGGGGCGCGTTTTGACAACGTAACATGAGTGTACTTACCACCATCACGTTGAGGGCGTAGAAGTACTTGCGGCACCAGTACGCCGCCTTCGTGACGGTGGGGTCGTTCTTGGACGGGCCGACGATGGAGACCATGGTCCCGTCCACGCAACTGATGACGCCGGGTATCCTGCCGAACAGCCTGAAGCCCTTCTTCGCGTCGAACCTCTCGCTCGGTGTCTCGGGGAAGTGGATCCAGCCACGCTGGACCCCAAGACGACGCACGATAGCGACGGACATGGCGCGGACCGCAACGCTGACTGTCTTTTGGTCCCGCGCTACGTGTTCGTCGCTCGCCACCATGCCTTGGAAGCTTCTTGTGCCGTAGAAGCGCAGTGCACACAACACTTGAAGCTCCACAGTTATGACCGTCCACGAGGTACGCACTTTCCCACCTCCGGTTCCTCGCGAAGTTCGTCGCACAACCACCGCACCACGATCTTGGGCAGGCGGTATTGCTTCCAAAAGATCTCCTCCGGGAGTTTGAATGCATCGCGGTGTTCCCGATACAGCCTTTCTGGCGAAAAAAAAAGCTCTATTAAAGAAAAAGACGAATTGACGAGACGGCGACGCCTCGCCGCCGAACACATGCTGCCAATGACACCTAGTTCCGAGCAAGTACCTTTTGAAACGTACTCGGTACAAAATGAAACGTCATTTTGTTGTCACGTCCGGTAGCCGACTCCGCCCAGTTTTGCCGACTCCGCCCACATTTTTCTAGGGAAATTACGTCACTTTTGTTTCCAACCAATCAGACGTGATGACGTCACTTCCGTGTACTAAAAAAAGGTACATGTACAATGTCGAACCTAGCTATCCTGGAGAAAGCCAAGTATGTCGTGGGGGTGCGAGGTAGTTGCCCCGCGTGTCAGTGCTGCTGTGGCATTAGTGGCAGTTGGGGTGTTGGCTCCTCAGATTCGGACTCTTAAACGGGCGGTGCAACAATGTTCGGACTTTGCCCAATTAGCTGGAGAAATTATTCTTGTGTCACCTATAAAACGAAGAACAGGAAACAGTATTTTCTTGCGAGCGCTAGTTTTTATGCTTGTAGATACGCCAGCTCAACGGAAGAAGAAAAATGCATGAATAACCAACCTGCTCAGCTTCTGGCAATCACAAAGTATCTTGCTAGTTCTTATTTTAGAAAATGAAACAAATCAGTGCCTCTCAACTCTCCATGTCGCCTTTCGAGTGACATACTCGGGGGGATCACGTGGTGTCGCCTTGGGTTCTCTCTTGAGAGAGACCAGCAGCTTCCTCCGCGACTGTCGACTTCTAAAGGGTTAGCATTGTCGAAGGTCGCGGCGAGCGTTTGACAAAAAAGACTTCGCCACGGGGCTGACGGCGAATGTAGCAGCGGAGGGGGGCAGGTTTTTGTTGACTTCCATTGTTTCTGCAACAGCCACACGCAGCTGCAGATCGCCAAAAAGCTAATTTTTTTCTTTGCGATTACGCTGTGGATTAGCTGTTTATCGGGGTAAGGTGACACGTTTTTGGTTACGTGTGCTTAGATAAACAATATAAAAAATACAAACTACCAAATCTTTGAACATTAAAATCGTTGCACGGCCCTTTTAACGCTTCGCAAAATTGCATTTATAATGTGAGATGTTGCCGTCCGACGGTGAAGCTCTGAAGTGCCTCCGGTTTGATGTCTGAAATCGGCGGTTGGTCACGGAAGCGGATGTGCCAAAATGAAAACGAATGGAAACTTTTTGTCCTCTATTTTCATTCCATGTTTCTGAGCCTGAACAAATTGCGAGCACCGCGCGGTTTCCCGTAAATTCTCCAAGGAATCGCCTATCCTTTGACCTTGTCTTTATACAATACACTCATTAATTCACACTCTGGGAAGCCACGAATTTTGTTTGACTTGTTGGAAATCTTGGTTTATTGGAAATTCATCTAAATATGATGCAAGATAAAATTGTGATTTGCCATATGAATGGCTACACATACCAAGCAGATACTCGAGAATTTCCGCTACACAGGCCTATGGATCATAACAGGTATGCCACACGATAAAGATCAGTGGAATGTCAAATGTTGTTTCGTCTGGACTGTTTCGATAGCACATTACAACTCAAAACAAAGTTAAGTTTGTTCATAGGGCCAAGAAGGGACGAAAACGGGCACTGAGCGGCAGTTTCCATATCATTCTGCGCAGACGCTGCGACATGGACCTCTCCCGTGTTGTCACGTCACTTCGTCCGTGGAGCTTATGAAAATTTTCGCATGGTGCTCGTTTTCGTAGCTCGTGGTTTCCTGCTTGAGCCCTGTTGAGTGCACCTCTCACTTCGGAGAAGCAACAACCGCAGAAGCAAGCTCCGTAGGTGTTGCTCTTCTGCGGTGCACCGGTGCTCGGAAGGAAGCTCACTCAACGGGACCGCGAGAACAAAAAGTAGGAATTGCACGAAAACGCTGTTTGAATTAAGCGGCTTAAAATAAATTAAAAACAATGGAACAGTCGGAACCTTGAAATTTGAATTAAGCAGAAGTATGAAATATCAGTTTTAACTATCAACGGCCTGCTGTACTATTCCTTTTTAAACAACGCCCAAGCATTAAAAACTTTTAAGAAACAATAGCTTTGAAGGGTGATGTATTTCCGTTGGTGGTATATCCCACAGGCATTTATCTTCTTCTCTTCACTGGTGCTGCAAAATGCTGCAAACATTTTGCATGTCTTGATGCCTTTGGAAGCGACTGCCAGCTTGTGTTGCTAGCTTGCGCTGACCACTGCGTGTTTCCCGCCCGTTTCAGGCCGCTGGCGCCAGGGTGAATAAACAAACTGGTCTTCGACGAGTTGGGATCTGCGAATTGGCCTATGACGGAGTGGCTTATTTTACAAGTTGTCTATCGACAAAATGTCCTTTTGCCAACTGGCTTTCAACAAGTTGGCCGGATACCACGACACACAGGCATGAGCGCCCGCAGAAATATTCCCAGAGGGAGGAGAGGGGCCGGAGTAGAAAGGAAAACGCTCTCGTTTTTTTGCGTCTTTTCCAGAAGTAAAACGCTGCAACTTCCACACACCCCTCCTTGCACCAACACCTCCGGGCGCCCTTGCACACATGGGACGTCGGCGATTGTTCGCGCCTTCGTTCGCAACAGCAGCACTGCCATCTGCAGCTCCGGAAACACAGAATTAAGGTGATGGTCGGTTGGCAAACGGTAAGGGTTGACAACACGGAACGTTGCACAGAAAACGCACAGATAAACCACACATCACTGTCGCTGCACAGCGGTCGCGAGAACAAGGGACCTCAAAGGGCCACAACTCGCTTCCAGTCCTCGTAGCGTCAAAGCGTTGTAGTCTTTGCACCGTTGGTTGCAGTGGTCACAGCCAGGGTCAGGGCCCGGCAGTCGAGGCGGCCGAGGCAGCCGAGTTACGATATGTGGCCGAAGTGGCCGAAGCCCGCCGCCATCGCAGCTGATCGCAGCCGCCCAGTGTACGTAACAGTGTCGGCATCGTTTCGAAGCTTAGCGGCTTATGACGGATGTGTTTAAACTTCTTTCTTTATTAATGTCAATAACGCCATGGCAAAAGAAACGACTGAAGGACCGACCTCGTCGTCTTGGCCCCTGCGTAAACAGCTTAGATCCAATCTGGGTTCACAAATCTTCTTTATCAAACAGCGTGCTAATGAAGCTTGTAGAAATGATATTTGTATAATTTTCCTTGGCGTCTGTGGATAATAGGGACTTTAATTTTCCTTCCATAGGTCTGGGTTTGTTTATGTTTGTTTTGGTAAATAATAATAACCGCTCCTTCCAGGGATCGAACCTTTGATTACTTTGTCAGTAGCGCGACGTTCTACCTCTGCGCTAACTGAACAAGGACGAGCTGGACCTCCTCCTTTCATCTGAACTTCCATTCCTCCCCTTTCTGGGCAACTTGTTCACAGCAGGGAGGAACAGTCGCTGTTGCCAGCTTTCTTCTCCTTTTTTTCTTAGAGTGCAGGGAGCGCGCACACTGAGCAAGACGTTCAGGATTGCCGCTATTTGCCAAAAAAAAAGAACAACACTTTCTTTGGGCTTAAGGTTGACTTAATTCTAGTCAGTCGACTGAACTTGACATTTTGTCTTCTTTTTTTAATTTTTGTTTCCTTAAGAAAATACCTAAAAAAAATTCTTTGTATCGCCATGATATTTTTCTTGCGTGAACGTGCTTTATGCGTGCGAACGAGCTACAAGACTTCAATCGCTGTAACTGTCGTCTAAATGAGATTTACTCGCGCTCTCTGGCACTGCAGACCTTTAAAGGCAATTCGAAAATCCTTAATTCCTTTGGCGTAAAGGCCCTTTTTGGCGCCCGTCTGAAAGAGGTAATATACACTGTTTCACATTAACTGTTATCGTGGCAGAAGTGACAAGAGCGAGCTGCGGACTTTCAGCGTCCTGCCATGCACGCGCGCTTGTGCTGTGCAAGCAGTGTTCAGGGTCACATGCTCGTCCTTGTACCTTTTACCTCGCTTGGGCTTAAAAGAAAACGGAGTATAGTTCCAGCGTTGTCGCGAGTATTCTCATGCCGGTTCGGGGACACGTACTCAAATGCAGGAAACAATAAACTTCGTTCCATGTTCGTCAGAGCCTTCAGGCCTCCCTCCCGCGGGGGCGGGCACATACGGTTCGAGGAACAAGTTTCAATTGTTCGTGTTGCACAACGAAATCGAATAGAAAAACCTTGTTTACCTGGAAAGACTAAAAGGAAGATGGTGTTGCAATTTCTGAGTAAACAGGTATATACGCGGCGTGTAGAATAGAAAAAAAAAGCGCAAAGACAATAGCAACAACTTGGCGAGTTGCGTAAATATGAACAAACATCCTTGAAACGCCATCTGTATTTTCATAGTCACGTGGGTCACACTCAAAGTATAAAAACGAACACTCAGCGGTTGTTCTCGCAAATTGCCTAACGTGTAAAAGAAAATGGAGCTGCAGAGGCGAGTATTCCTTCTGACGTGGATTTTCTTTCTGACCTTCGACGTTGTCATCAACGCTGAAGCATCTCAATGTATCCAAGAAACAACTCCAGAGAACGAGAATGAGAAGGTTAAAGAGATATGTCATTATGGTGCTAGCGCCTGATTTACATAGTGCGATTTCACACGGGATTTTGCAGCTGCGACTTTTAGGAATCCCAGTGTGAGCACCACGCTTTCTTCTCCGCTCAAGCGACGTCCCAACTGCGCGTGCGCAAGAATATCGCACAGTGCCAATCAACAATAATTATCATTCCTCCCATGCTCAGTCACGCGCGGCTTTCAAACAAGCGTATTTTTGACCACGTCAGGTCCGGACGCAAGATCTGTATTGAAAGAACGTAAAGCGTATTGCGCGTGCGCCATATACACACCGTCAGCAGCGCCGCCGCTCCGTCGTGACGTTAGCGACGCGCGTAGGGCTCTGTTATGGATGTTCGTCTCGAAATAGACGCCGGGAGAAATATGACCTTGCCGAAGGACGGACTTGTTGCAGCAGTATACGTGCAACAAATTCGCAAACAATTTCTAATCCACTATAATTATAAATCGTTCGCGTATCTTCACCCAGTTCACATTTGTATCTGTGTCTTGGGCTGTATACAATTTTAAAGCGAAACAAGTGTCTCTGCGTGTTCAATAGTTTGTTTACAGCCTTTCTCCTAATGACATTCTTACAATCTTATTTAAAACTTTGGTTGTTTGTTTGTTTTTCGTGGAAAAGAAAGCAAAGGTGCGAAATTGTCTCGGGAAAGTATTAGAACCTTCCATTACTGGTATTTTCGGACGTGCTGAAGAGAGGTAGCGCATTGTCACTGCGAAGGAGCAAATCTGTATTTCTGCGAGATCTGATTGTTTCTCGTTCGCGAAAGTATCAAACTCAAGTAAAGTTAGGAGGCGAAGTGTTATTCCTTCCGCCCGAAGAAAAACAAAATGACCCTTTGAACGCACCACCATGACTAAAGCAGTAGCAGGCACTATGGTGCCTGGACACCGTCTTCGATTGACGTGTTTAGCGTATTTTAAGAGCTTGGTCTCTCAATTTCCTCTCAATGACGTCATGAAAGTGCCATGCTGTCGCCGGCCGCGATCCTGGCGGCGTCACAACAGCTCTGATGGTGTGGTAGACGCCTGTCCTGATGCAGGTCGCTCTTTAGTGTGGCAGTAGACAGAAGCTTCAGCAGCCAGGAGTTGGTGGTAAAAAAACACAGACAAGCTTGAGAACTAACTCCCCAATGATAAAGCCGAGACTGGAAAATAATAATCGGCCGCGCAGCGCGGAGTGAGTAGAGAGGGAAGCCCTGGCATCTCGCCGTCGCGTCTGGCATCTTGCCAGACGTGACGAAAGGACAGTCTTCCGTGTCGTCTGCTACAAACACTTGTTTTCAAACCTTACTCGCGTGATGCGAAATCCTACTTTCGTGGTATGAAGTTGCTATGCGTAATGTTGGATGGTTTCGGAAACTTCCAACGCGCTTATCACGTACTTCACGGATTAGCGAGCACTGTTGACGGTAATCAGTGGAATCCAGGACGCCAACCACGACGACTATGAGAACTAACCACGTCGCACCTCCGTCCTCAGGTACGCGACGGCACAATCTAACCAGCATTGCGAGGTCGTGCTACATCTATCGCTTTCGTTTCTTCGCACATTGTGGGCGAAAAATACTTCTTTTTATTTCTTCTTATTCTCGCGTTTGTCAATAAAAGGGTCAGGAAAGGGTATCAGCTTGGAATGTTCATGACTTTGCAGAGGCCTACTGGTCCTAGCCTGGCCCCCCCAAGAGTACTCGCAGAAACCTCCACCGATACAGAAGCTTCTGTGTCGCTGTGAAACGACGAGGATAAAATGGGACTATTAATTCGACAGTCTTATTAAGCTACTACTCAATAGGAGGTATTCACTGGACGCCATATTTGAGGGCGATGTTTAGGGCGGATGCTCAGAACGAGCTCACATTAATAGCCTGCTAAGACCGGCAACCTTGATGGTGCTAAATGCACGCTCCAAAAGGACTGCGGAAGCTCGCCACCAGCACGCGCTCAGCAGCAGCGCACACGGATATGGCCACCAGTGAATACTCCCTATATGAAAGTATTAAGTCGACGCCATATTTGTGGGTGCTGCTTACATGCTCAGATCGAGCTCACAATAAGAGGTTGCTAGCGCCGGCAATCTTGATAGTGTGCAATGCACGCAGCAGAATAACTGTTAAAGCTCGCCAACAGCACGCGCTCAGCAGTCGCGCACACAGCTATGGCCACCAGTGAATTCCCCCTATATGGGTATTTCCTGGACTCCTAGTGCGCAATAGGTATGCGCTGTGGACCATTTCAGCTAACTGTGCTTGCGCCCCATTGCACCGCGCGGATGCGGAGCAGCAGGACGCACTCCTTCACATTCGCACCCTCTTTGAAAGACCTGATAACATTGACGTCGTCCTAGAGCTCGCCCTAGAGGTCGTTCTAGACGTCGTATTCACGTCGTCCTCAAGATCTCCCTAAAGGTCGTTCTAGAGACTGTCCTAGACGTCGTTTTTGACGTCGTCCTCTAGGACGTTGTCTTTGACATTGTCCTTTAGGTATACCTAGAGGTCCTCCAGAGGTCGTCTTTGAGGTCGCTCTAAAGGTCGTTTTTAGACGTCGTTCCAGATGTCGCCTTTGACGTCGTCCTTCAGGACGTCGACCTCAACGTAGTCCTAGACGACGTCAAGGATGGCGTCTAGTACGACATCGAGGACGACGTCTTAGAGGGCGACGTTAAGAGGACGACCTCAAGGACACCCTATAGGGTGATCTCAAGGACGACAAGAATTTAGCGTCATCCTAGAGGACGACGTTAAATTTAGGGAGAGTTTATTTGCTAAATTTAGCGAAACAATTGACGTCACGACCTATGCACCAATTCAGCATCCCCGCTAATGCTTCGGTATGAACTGATAAATGCTATCGCATTCATAGATAATCACCTCTTCAGTTTCTACAAATTTGCCTCGACCATTAATGTTATCCTGCAGTCTTGCGTTTGAATAGATTGATGACGTAATAGACCCTTTCAGGAATTCAGTCTGGCCACTTTGATCACTATCATCATCATCTGAAAACGGCATATGTGCTATACTAATGGCAGCCTTCTGTTTACTGATGAAGGAAGAAGTTGAAGATGCTCCTAAGCAGACGATTCGAGGCCTATACATTCTAGATGTTAGCGCGGCGTGAAGCAGGAATTGGACGCAAGAGCTGCGTAAGCGTTCATTTCTAACTCGGTCCCAGTCAATCTGTTAGTAGCACTCACTCGGCTTCAAAGCCCCTTGATGTATAGAACTCTATCAAGGCGTCTATGTGGGTTGGCGCTTCGTTGCGACTGGCTCCATTTGTTTTGCCATCGGCACTAAAGGAGATTGAAAAATAATTGTTGTTGAAGCGCACATTCTCGTTTACCGTTGACCTTTAAAAGTGACGGTTCCCTATTAAATACTGCAGTCAACAGGTTCATTGCCGCCATTAGTATAGTAAAAGATAAACTGTCATTTGAGTCACCAGATGGCACTGAATTCCGGAAAGCGTCTACCCACCGGACGACAGTCGAGCGCGGTTCGTGGATTCAACACGAACTCTGTGAGCACTCGACTTCTGCTCGTAACAATGAACGCCGCGGGGGTCACTCGGGTAGTGGGTGTCTCGCGTCCAACCACTGCGGTGATGACAATAGCCGAGCTCTAACAATGCCTGGAGCTCAGCGCGCGTTTTATACTTTGCCAATCCAGCGCGTGGTTATGATTAACCTTGGCGGCGTAGGATAGGCGGCATGGGATAGGCATACGATAGGTATAGCTTTGGCTCCGAGTTGAGGGGATAAACGATGCTCATATTTCTCAATTTTTTTTGTCGACTACCATTGCCTAGAAACTAAAAACAAAGGCAAGTGTATTCAATTACTAATGTAAGAAAGTGAGTCTAAGCAGTATTTAGCGAAAGTAGAACAATCGCTTCATGACTCCTTTAAGGGGCCCTGCAATCCTATTTAAGCGTGTATTTTTGTTGCGGTTTCCACATCTCTTGTGGTTCGGGTAACACAGCGGGCACGGAGAGAGCTAAATATCAGTGCGTAATATTGCCGCGCGAGCAGCTGACCAAGTGGCAGTGCGCTTGTTGCCTAACGGATGCATCTTCCGGCAGCAATAGCAGACGGACGTCGAGTCATGCGCTATGCAGGGGCGGTTACATCGGCCTTTTCTGGCCGTGGTACTTCTGCTGCAGATAACGCGAAGGAAACTGTAAAAGATTATCAGGTTATGCTGCCATCCCTGCCCGCTGGATACATCGCGACGAACGCGGTGTTTTTACACGGCGATGTGAAGAAACGCCCCTACCGCATACAGGACTTCCGACACGAGCTGGACAAGCTGGACATCATTAAAGACTTGGCATCACCAGGTGCGTACCAGATGAACCATGTGTGGATGTTGAGACTGCATTCCTTACCTGCGAAGCAAAAGCTGGTGAACGCGAACGAACTCGTGGTAAAGGGACGGCGGTGCCTCGTGCTAGACCCGGCGAGCAATGAAGTCAAGCTAAAACTTCACTGGGTGCCATATAATGTGCCAAACTTCAAAGTGCAAAAGGAGCTGGAAACGTTCGGGAAGGTGTCCACTTTAACCAGGGAGCGCTTCAGAGAACAAGGTTTTGAAAATGTCGAGTCAAACACGCGTCTCGTGCAGATGACTCTCGATGAGGGTATGAGGGTCGACAAAATTACCCACGAAGTGCGACTCAAGGGATGCAGAGTCCTGGTCCCGGTGCCAAGGAGAGCACTTCTGTGCCTGCGCTGCAGACGAATCGGGCACATCCAGCGAGAATGTCGCGTTCCCCGATGCACCTACTGCAACAGTTTTGGACATACGACGGAGGAATGCGTGACCACGTACGCTTCCACCGCTCGGGACCGCAAGGAGCAGGATGAGTCGGAGATGTTCATGGACGCAACCGAGGCAGAGGAAGCTGTAGTGACCGCTGCACCGGATGCACCAGACGACACGTCAAAAAGGCCGGACACTGTAGCGGGGAACGACGATGGAGC